TGATATTTAACTTCAATTTCATTGTGAAATTATGTGTTTCGTACTAATTTGGTATTTTTGGACTTGTGTGAAACTCCTTTGTTGAGAAAAAGTGTAGTTTCAGAGGATCCATGTAATGGTCATTGATTTACAAAGTGCAATATTGGCACACGTACCTGTAGATTTATGCCCACTAGGTGTTGCAAGAGACCATCACCTTTTGACTTTGGGTTAGCGCCACGTGTTCTCACTTGCGTTAGGGTAATTGCCCTGTCTGCAGTTCTTAGTTAGTTCTGGAAATCCCAGCATGGACTTGTATTTGTAATTGATTCGTGTTCCTTTAGGTGTTACAATTATGTTTTCTTCCTGTTTAGAAATCTATTGGTACTGCATTTGTTTATACCCGAGTGACACTAAATTTAATTACCGGCTTTTTCGTACCTCACCAACTTTTCGACGAGAATTATTGTGTTCGACCTGATTTTACAATCCTCGAGCGACTGTTAAACGTTTTCCAAGTCATAATACATTTGATTGTATGCAGTGAAGTAAACTGTTGTTTATGGGGATTTAGAGAACACATGCTGTAATATTCGTTCTCGAAGGTCAGAGCATAAAAAGGAAAAAAAGGTGTCCACAAATTAATTTTTAGTATCAACATCTGTGGCACACTGTGATCCAAGGGGACACCGTTTTAGAGTTGGTACAGCGTGACCACCATAACATAGACTTTTAAAAGCTACAATTTTCGTCGAGAGGACGCCAGGATATCTTCTCGAGATAGAATGACACGCAAAAATAGAAAAGACACTAAATAGATGGAGAGGTACTCTTCAGTGCTCAAATGAATACACTGGAGAATAAATTGATTACAATGTAGGCACAAATAGAAGGAATCGAAGAAGCAGGGGATGAATTTGGCATTGATGTGAAACAGTGACATGACAGTGCGATGGTACTTCATCAAGATGTGAGGAATTGGCGAGTGGAGCTGCAAGTGACAATACATGAATTTCAGGAGAACGTGATTAAAACATTGGGTAATAACCAAAGTGCCCAAGTCAGTTTGAATGAACCCAATAAGACACCTAAAGAGACAAGCGAAATGACACCACAGCGTAAGTAATGCCCCCAGTTATTTAATTAATCGCCTGTGGACGAACGTGAATTCTTTGAGTCTATATCGTACGCCATTTTGAAAAATATTTTAAAAAGGAAGGTGGTATTGAAGCGTTTCTAGCCGTTTTCAGTCAGCGTGTGAAGTTGGCAAGAGGTCTCTTGTTGGCAATTAGCTCTTTTGTTGTTTTTACACGGATTCATGTGGTAACAAGTGCTGGTGTACGGCGTTTGTTTTGTAAAAAGTAGCGTCAGTTGTATGTCACTCGAGTTAAGTTCGATTTTTAAAATGTAAAATTGTCTGGGAAACGGAGGGAAGCTCGCGACGAGGGTCGAACATTTCAAAGTGCTTGGTCGGAGAATATTTTTCTCTCTTGCACATTTCAAAACCAGTTTGCTCGATATGCAAAGTCTGCATCGCAGATATTAGGGAATTTAATGTTAATCTAGTTACGAAACGTGTCGAAAATTTGACCCCGAGACCGTGCAATCGCGCCACAGCTCATCTGTGCGACAGTACAAAACGTGTAATCTGCACGTTCGGAAGCTCATATTGCTGCAGCAGCTTTATCTAAAATGCATTACACTTGGAAGTTATAATAAATATGCCGAGTCAGCATCGCAGATATTAAGGGATTTTGCCATAAAAGTTGCCATAAAAACACCATCCTCCACATTGATAATAAGTAAATAAAAACAATGTATTGTTGGATAGTATATCAAAAGAGGCCACATACACATTTTATTGTGGCCGGCTTTTAACGCAATAATAGAAGGTGCTAATGCGCCAGAATTTGAAGTTTATTGTGGCGATTCTTCGAAGGCGTAATTATGCGGCCCGCGCGCTCCAAAAAAAGTTGATATTTGGCCCGCAAGTACATAAAGTTTGCCGACCACTGATTTACAAGACTTGATTACCTCGACTGAGGTACTTTCGGCTGACCAGTATTAACAATGTTTTTTTTTTTGCTGAGAGACCTTAACGACCTATTTGTTGGTTCGGCTGGCAAACTCGGGCTTGACTTGGCTAGTGTATACTGGCAGGTAGAATTTGATCCGTCTGACAGAGAACTGTTCTCAGTCTCCCGAGAAAGGATACTATCAATTCGTAGTCATGCCATTTGGTCAGTCCAATGCGCTTGCAACTTTCGAACGGATGATGGACCGAGTGTTGGGCGGAAAAATCGGGATAGGTTGCTCAAATTATTTGGATGATGTTTCAGCTCTCGGATCGATCAGATATTGACGCGCCTTTGAGCAGTTCAAAGAAAATTCTCATTCAACTTTGCGGTGCTGGTTTGAAACTTAAATCGACTAAATGTCAGTTGTTCCATCGATCAGTAACCTATCTTGGATACAAAAATTCTTCTGAATGAGTTTGCTGTGATCCTCAAAATGTAGCAGCAATAGTGGATTGGAAAACGTTTCAATGAGTATCAAATGTTAGAAGTTTCTTGGAAAATGCCAACTATTATAGGCGTTATGTGTCTGTTTATGCCACTATAGCATCGTCTTTAGTTTGTTTGACTTGAAAGAACCTAAAATGTGGGTGGACTACCAGCAGCGCTTATTATGTAACTCTACCAGCAGCTCCTATTATGTAACTCGTTATTATGCTAATCTTACACAGAACATTATAAATTTTGTGGTTGTGAAACTATGGAATACGCTTCCTGATTTAATTCGTTCTAAAATTATATTCTTTTCAAACAAGCAATGAAAAATCTTTACCTTGATGCTTATTCCTGTCAGTAATTTGGCCTTTGTTAGGACTATCTGTTTCAGATTTGTGTCTTGCATTGTATTGTCTACCATGCTGCAATGCGAACGGCATTGTCAATATCACTATTTGTTGCTGTATAATCTTGAATATCATAAGCATTCAGTCTTTTGTATGGTTATTTCTTTGCTGTAGAACTGCAACTCGCATCTACCGGTACCGGTATATATGAATCCTATACCTAAAACAAAAGTATATTTGATGATTAATTTCCTCCATTATGTATTAATAATTATACATTATCCACTATTCTTTATTACTCTAATTGTTTCTAAAACTTCGAAATGGTTTTCTTTCCTGCCCAATTATTATCCATGTGCCCAAAACTGCTGATATATTTTCCTTTTTAGCAGTTGCTGGGAATTCTCTTTCTGTTATCTGACATTTGTATCGTCATGTTGTTTTTTTGCGCTCATCTGAGCATGACGTTAATAAGCTAAACTGACTTCTATAATCAGTAGGGCTGGGAATGGTTAACCGGTTAACCGATTTCATATGGTTAACGGTTATGATTTATTTTAACCGTTACCTTTATCTTAATCATCTTTATACCGTACAATTTCGTCAAATATGATTACGTCATCGCAAATTTATCTTTTGCGGCGTTTAATTCAGAAAAATATTACTAACTGTGTGGGTAAGGAATCAATAAATGTGAAAAATAAAGGAAGCACCAAGGTTGCTGATAATGAAAATTTACAATGATGAATTCAGAATCAGTTTTTGGTCGATTTCGAAATATATCGTTCACGATTTCATTGTAAAATCGGATATTCAATGTCATACAACAGGTGTGCAGTTGATGCCGTTTTTTTTATGATATATATCTCGAAGTAAAATTTGCACATAGAACACTCAAAATTTCTCACATAAATGACGTTAAAGAACTGAATCGGGTTTTCTAAAATATTTCCACATGCCCGAACCACGCTGCCTATCTTTTGCAGCAGAGGAATCATAAAACTATCTCGATTCGTGAATAATTTTGAGCGATACCGGGATAAGAACACGCGAAATTGCTCCCTAACCTTTATGACGTAACAAGCTGAAATTATAATTATTACGTCAAACGTCACGCGGCGGTTAACCGGTTAACCGGTTAATTTTACCCGGTTTACGAGCAAAGTGTTTTCCGTAAAATTCCCAGCCCTAATAATCAGTAATCTTCTGACTCTCTCGATTTGATTTTGCCATATTGTATTCTCAATTTTGTTAAAGAATAATTGGCTCATTTCATTTGACGTTTGTTTGACGTGATCTGCTGCTAAACTCAGCAAACACGGTGTCGCTGACACGATGACTGTGGTAGTCTTTCTCGGCCCCGCGTATTGCGGAAATATTGTATGTCTTTTTATTTTTTCAAATGATCTATTTGTTACCATTTTTTTCATTACCTGTGTAAATACAATATTTCATGCACGACTGAGATAAAATATCTGAATCTGACTGATGACTGTAAGGAAGCATTTGAAATCATTAAGCGCCTTTCGACGTCAGCTCCTATTCTGGCTTTTCCATTGGTGCAAGGGGAGTTGATAGATGACAGCTAATGTGCTGGTCACCTAGTTATTCGCAAGGTTTGGAGTTCCTCGGATTATCCACACTGGTAAAGGGCGAGATTTTGAATCTCGGTTGTTCATTGAGATGTTCGAATTGTATGGTATTGTCAAGACGCATACGACAAGTGGAGTTGATGGACAAGTGGAAAAGTCTAATCGAACGATTCAACAAATGCTTAAGCCTATGATACACAATCCAGATCTTGCAATCAAGAATACCGGTTTGAATAAATTATGAATCAATGAATTCTCCGCAAAATTTTTTAAATTGTCATATGAGTATATGACAATAAAACAAGAAGGGAATCATCAAATACATGTTTCACCGGTACGATAAAGCCTTACGAACTCCAGATCAGTGGTTCTCAGACCTTTTATGGTCCGTGGCCCCCTTTCGAAGGCTCTTAGCACTCGTAGCCCCCACTGTTCATCAATACGAGCAATGTAAACATTACGCGCATTCGAAATCTAGTCCATCTTGATTTAATATGGTAAAACTGAAGCCAACGTAACTGTCATCCAATTCGCTTCTCCTGGGAATATTTGAAAATTTATTTTTCTGTGTCTATAACATTTTTACGTCGACTATCTCGCAGTCTCGTGAAACCGCCGAAAGTATAATAGATCAACCCTTTTCTGAACGTCAGACGGCCTGTCAACCGACTACAAAAGTTAGTTTTCCCAGAGCACAGAGATATCGTACTTGTAGTGGTATTTTGGTAGGTAGAAATCACATTATGATCAAATAATTTATACACAAGTGAAAACACCATGTGACTGGAAATAGTCCTTCAATTATATTGAAACTAAGAACAATTTTCTTATAAATGGAAAAGTATGAAAACGAATTCGAATTAAAAACGATTTTGCGCTTAGTATTGTGGTTTCCCTCCAAATTCTCTCTGCCCCCTCCAATTTCCTGTGTCCCATTAGGGGTGAAATATCGTGCCCCAAAGACCCACATGAGGAAATTTGAACAAATAAAAGTATTATCCATCTTGACGTACGAAAAATTTAAACTTGCTTGATCATTTGCTTACAGTCAGGAGCAATTTAGAAAATCGACCCATATTACTATTCCAAGTCCAATAATAACTCAATGTCACGACAATGAAGACTGTGAAAACTATCGGCGGGCAATCAGAAGCTGCGTAATTTATTTATTATACCAACTACAACTTAGAACTAAAAATATTTAAAATATCAGCAAGTTTTGTGATGTTTGTTATTATCATCAAATATATAAGTAATACTTGGTAAGCAAAAACTTAATGATTAGAAGGGAGTTAAATATTGTAAAATATTGTATAATATTTAACCTGTATGAATGCTGAAATTGAAAACTATTAGGAAACTTCACACCATCTGGAAGATAAAGAAATTGATCTTTTTTCACCGTCAGTAGGCTATATAGTAACAAAATCTTGTAAAAATTAATTAAATTTACATATTAATAAAAATGTTTTCAAAAATATTTGACCATGGACGGGGCATTGGGTTTATTCTGAAACATGAAGATAATTCAACGTAACTGTTTTTTTTTTTCAATTATCGAGTTGCAGTAAGCATAAATTATACACAATGTTCACTTTTGAGGCGGGAATGAGAAGAATACTTATATTTTCGAATGCAATATTAGGTCACACGCGGACTGGGCAAAATCAAAAGTTAGCGTAATTATGCCGTTCTCCATCTAGAGCAGTGGTCGGCAAACTTCATGTACTTGCGGGCCAAATATACACATTTCCGGTGTCGCGCGGGCCTCAATATTTCCGCCTTCAAACAATCACTTCATTAAACTTCAAATTATAGCGCATACGCACCTTCTATTGCTATGTTAAAAGCCTGCAAGAATGAGGCGTATATGTGGCCTTTTATAATATCTTAGCAAATAATACATCGTTTTTTTTTACTTATTATCAATGTGAAGGATGATGTTTCTATGGCACATTGCCCGCGGTCGTCAAAATGACGATCTGACAAGCGAGTACGAAATTTATTCTAAGTGTAATGCGTTTTAGATAAAGCATTACGAGCTTCCGAACGTGCAGATTACACGTTTTGCACTGTCGCACAGATGACAAATTTTTGATGAAACTTTTCATAACGAGTTTAACATTAATTCCCTTAATTAATATCTGCGATGCTGATCGGGCATATTGAGCAAACTGGTTTTGGAATGCGCAAGAACGAAAAATGTTCTCGCGTCCAAGCACTTCGACTCTCGTCGCAAACTTACCTCCGTTTCCAAGACATTTTTAACTTTTCTTTTAAAAATCAAAATCATCTCAAGCGACATACAACTGATGCTACTTATTACAAAAAAAGTGCCGTACAGCTGCATTTGTTAACACATAAATCCGTGTAAAGACTAGTGTAGTAGAATAATAAATTTAGGATCAATTTTTTGTTGTATGTATTAAATGTCAGGACTTTCGAGGGCCGCAACAAATTAGCTCGTGTGCCACAGTTTGCCGACCACTGATATAGGTGCACAGGATGTCACTAAGTCAAAGTTTTAGCGAATAAAACTTGCACGTCATTTGGTGGTTTCATCCCCGAAAAAACTTTTTGCCCTGTTACGGGGTCATGATAGTTTTTCAATTCAATGTGTCTGATTACTTCAAATCCCTTCATTTTCGAAGGTTCTACCAGAGCTTTATTATATGTTTGACATCCTACAAGTCTCTCAATTCCCCTTTGTTTGGCAAGAACTGTAGATCTAAATTTCAAGAAAATAGTAAAGTTTTAATATCGATATGATGATAATAAGTTCAAAAAAAGTTGTATCACTATAAATACATTTACTGATCTTACCTTTTTATAAGTTCAGGCATTAGTCCTTTCCTTCTGTAACTTGGATGCACAGTTCCCATTCTCATCTCCCAAAATTTTTTGGTTCCAAGAATCTCAGATAATTGATTTACTCCAATTGCCACCATGAGGTTTACACATATAAACATATGTATTGTTTAATACATTTACGGGCAATATCGCAAAAGAAGATTCAAAGTAAATTGAAGTCAAAAATATATTTTCTACCCGAATTATAGTATCTGTCTTTTCACTGATATGTAGTGTTTCATCATATTTTATTCTTTCACTATCGTCGTGTTCCACATTGATGACAACTCCACGTAATTTAGCATCTTTATCACTGAATGCTCCGAGTGAATTTCCTTGCTTTAAGAAAGACTGAAATAAAATAAAGTATTATATTTCTATAAAAGCAATCAATGTTCTCATAACGAAAATATTTAATAGATCAATTCCTTGAAGTGATTTGGTAAAATAAATACAGATTATTTTATTTTACTAATACCGGTATTAACAACGTATTCGATAAATTAGCAATATCTTTATGTTGTATATATTCCATGTTTACCATGGATTTATTGTGTAATTAATCTATAATAGAATATTGAATAAAAGTATTAATATTAATTAATTGAAATTCTTACTATGGCTAATGCTCTTGCAGTTAGCTGTTCACCTAGTTTGGGTAAATTTTTTTCAACAGAACTACTATTTAGGCTCTAGTATTCTAAAGATTACAATAACAAGGGATTTATTATAAACTCTATGCAATTCTTTGGAGCGAAAAGGAGGCTTGGACAGGTAAAGTAAAGACCACGCACTTGGACTGTTTACTGAGGAATGTTTTCTCACAAACAGAAAATAGGTAACTGTTCTTGCTAATGATAATATACTAATTACCAGTGATGACGATCACTTTTATTTAAAAGTTTGGGTCAATAGACAAACAATTCGGTATTGAACAGAAAGAGACCCTAGATATCTACATAAAATATATCATAACAAGCGAGTAGCAGTCAAGCGAGTAGCAGTTACGTAGTTTACGCAAAATGGCAATCAAATGCCTTGTGGTGTATGTAATATAAATTTACCAAAGTTTTCCTTGCCTATTTTATCAAAAAATAAAACTTGGGAGTTATTTTTGCCTCATGCCTATAGTAGTTCTATACGTATAATATAAATGAAGGAGCAAATATGCGTTATTTGAGGAAAATAACATTTGCATCTTTGTCAAGTAGGCTACCTCTATCCGAGGATAATAGGCAGGAATCCGAGTCTTCCTTCGTCCAATTTAAATATACTCCCAATGAGAATGTTGATGTGAAATGTTCTTCGATCAAATTCCTGACAGCGCATAGATGTTTTACGCTTAGAAGTTTGTAAGTGAGATTTGTTATTGACGCCATAATATAGATTTATCATGAAGTAAAAAGTTACAAACAATTGCTAAAATTTGTCTTCATTAGAAAATTTGGATGAAATGGATAATATAACAGTCTGTCAACAATAATACGCATCTGTATATAATAAATATCACATATGTATATATATATATATGTTATTTTCAATATTGATATTATATAATAACTTTCTCAACTAATTTTACAGTCCACTCTAACAAAACATATCTGCACTCTAATATTCGCTAAAAGGGCCAAGCACACTTGCAAACTGCTTGGTTAACAAGACATGCTGCTGTCAGATTTTCCCGACCTCGCAATTGAGTGGTATACGCTCGTTCGTTATGTAGACAACTTGCTTGAGGATATTATTTGGCTACATACCGGTAAACTAACCGCAGTCTGGGGCTCTAGTTTGATTCGAATACCTAACTGTTGCGCTCGATTCTATGTAGCCTGGTTACTTCTCACGCACATTAAGAGATTGGAGACTTCAAAAACGCGTCCCAATACCCCAGTCCTGACCCCAAACCTATATCGGTTAATTGTTACAACTAGTCCGTGCTTTCAAGCAATTAAAGTCTGTAAACAGCGGTTAAAGTGCCGCCAGATTCTTCTGTGCCTTTCAAATGCTGCCCCAATATAATTCAACTTGAAATCGGTGAATATCTTTAATAACAATCAACAGACACTTCAAATCAAATCTCGAAACATGAATCAGGAAAATAGAACTTGCCGGGTACCGGAAACGGAACGTTGTTAATGGAACGTAACGTAAATCTTGATACCGGGTATGAGGAACGTAAAGGAACGTTGTTAATGGAACGGTTTTCTGCCAAAATAATAGATAAAACTAAATAGCTTATATGGCACAATTAATCAAATATAACAGCATTACCATTTTTACAAGCAATAACAATTCACATCAATTAGCAGATAACCATATGTCACAATTATGTACAGATTAAATCACATAGGATAAAATAGTATTCACAATACTAAATTACAGAATGAATCATACAAGATAAAACAATATTTACATACCGAATGTTTAGGATCTCCAGGCAACTCAATTCAACAATTTATAATCCAAAGTAAATACAACTTAACTTATGTGACTAAATATAAAGAACAACAGTTATCATTCTATTTGGGCTATAATACAACCCTAGCCTGTATCCCTACATTATATTACAACTCCAGTATGAACCCTTGATTTTAAACCCAATTAATAATTTCAACCCGAATCGTTTATCCTATCCGCAAATAGTAAACCCAATATTAAACACGATAAACAACTCCTAGCGCAATAGATTACACTGGATACAAGACAGAAGGTGCCAACTCCTCGAAGCAGCGTGGCGATAATTTAGAATTCCCGGGATTAATCGAGAAACAGGACTCTGTCGCAATAAGGCTGCGTCGATACGTTTGCAACGTCTGCGTAACAACGTAAAACGTTATCAACTTAGAAACACGTTATGATTCTCGCTAACACTAACCGCTTATAATTTAAAAATAAAACTTGTATCTACTTTTGTCTATCGAAGTTTTTCTGGAACTAATTTTAGATTACGAAAACTAAAACAAAAGTCGATCAGACGAAATGACCATTGAGTTATCTGAATTTTGAAACATAATTAAAAGCCTATAAATGACACACAAAATCATGAATACGAACCGATCCAATGTTTACAACCATGCTTGAAAAGCCTTACACAACATAACGGGCACATGATAATAATATTGCGAAGCAAATAAAGGAAATGAATTGGTGCCAATATTGATCTGCGGTGACACAACTGATAGAAAGACGAGAACTGAAAAGTCCCGATCTGTCAACTGTAACTGACGACAGCATTGATCATGCTCATACATATTATGCAACTTCTATTTCACCAGTTACATTATAGGGGTAATCGACCCTACTCTGCGTGTTCCCACCGTGTTATAAAACACACGTTAACGGAGTGAAACGCTGATTTGCACTCCTTCAATAAGCAATAATAATGCAAAAATCATGAAAAACACCATATTCTCAACTCCCAAATGAGGGTCAAAAATCCGTGACAAATTGCTCGATACAAAGAAGGATCGATAACAATAAAGCTTTGCTAAGACTTGTCATTCGTTACGATAAATCATAATCAAGTGAAACAAGAGAGCTACGCCCAAATATATGGACACGTCTGTTCGCAGTACAGTACGGTGTACCGTACCGTCAGATCACAATCTACAAATATATTCACACCCAGAAAAGCAGTACAGTAGGACACAAAATGGCGTCCTATGTCCGCAGAACGTTCAATGACGTCATAGAAAACAAAAACAATTTTCACAGAGTTAACAGAAATATTTAAAATGAATAAAAGTAATAGCCTTCTGGGGAAAAATTTTATCTTCAACCACTGAAAATTCCAAAGCAATTGGTCCAGTATTCGAAGAGGAAAGCGGTTTATTTTGTGTCAAATAACAACAAGAACAAGAACAACATAATATTGAAACGATCGTTATGTCCACTACGTGTCCAATAAGGCACTACAATGGCTGGCAGCAGACATTGCACGGATTGCTCGGCGATGTAACAGGGTTTTATCAGCTGAACCCCAGTTGTGCCATATTGGATATGGCTCTGAAATAAGAAGCAAATAAATCATCCGTAGTGTTTTTAGTGATGTTAATTTCAAGCTTGCATGGTATTCGAACCGACTTGGATAATTTAACGGCCAATTTGGATAAGTGAACATCTCATTTCATTTTGCTACCTATGTATACGCCAAGATATTTATAGGAATAAACATTTTCAAGTTTTTTATCATTAATTTGGATTGCGATACCATTTTTAGATTTGCTTTAAATAACTATAAATGAATTTGTTCGCTATACCCCTAATACCGAAGTGTCTCAACTTAGAAACCGGGATGTCATGATTTACGGTATCGAAGGCCTTCCTTAGATCTCAAAATGTTGCACTTTCAAACATTATCCTTTCTAGTTTATCATAGATATATGATATTGAATCCAAAATAGCATGCGGTGTAGATAGATTATTTTTAAACTAATATGAGATATATTTATTACATCATGTCTTGAAAAAGGGAATCAACCGAGCAATTTTGAGACATGCAGGAAAAATTTGGAAAAAAATTGAACAATTGAAAAATCCAACTAAAAATGGCACAGGGAGATCAGCAACTGATTTAGGAAAGCGTGCTGGAATGTTGTTTGGACCAACTTGCCTCCCTTTCTTCCATTTGTAAAAAAGTACTTATACTCCCTTTCAAAAAGTGGGAATTGAACATTTTATTTTTGTGGCGAATACCAGCACCAACCCTTTGGTTAGCCATTACTTTTATCGTAGTCTTTTGAAAATTACTTGTGCAACTGTACGAAAGCAATCAATCGTAAATTTTGACATGTCCCTGGATATTTGAATATCATTTGAATGAGCTGGTTCATTCTCGTTTCTAATTAACTATTACAACAGTGTCATGATTTTTTATAGGACTTTTCGCTCATTACTGAACTTGAAAAATTCTCTACTATATTTCATGGAATCATTTCTATTTTAGATTGATCAAATTTCAGTTTCTGAAAGACTGGTGAACCTGATGGTTTAACTGATCATTTACAACAGGGGTCGGCAAACGGCGGCCAGTGAGCAAAATGCGGCCCGCGAGCTAATTTATTGCGGCCCTCGAACGACCCAACATTTAATACATAAAACA